TTCACAAAATCCGGAACTTTTTCATCCCCAAAATTCAATTCTTGTGAACCATTTTTGACACTACATTCCTTCTTAATCTCCTTCTCAAGACGCAACACTGAATTCTCACCTGATGTTTCTATTTCTTGTTTAATTTCACTGAATACTTCCTCTTTTATCATTTTCAGTTTTGTGTGATATTGATCACATTCTTCCCTAACTGATTGAAACATGTTTTCCATAAACATTTGCTGTTTTTCCATTTGACCAAATACCGTTTCTTGAAACTGAGATAAAGTTGCATTCAATTCTTCCTTCATAACTTTAAGATCACTTTTAAAATCTTTCCGGGCTTCCTCGTCGGGCACCTGATAATTCACTTCTTTACTATTTTCATCTAACGTCATAGTTTCATGCCACTGCTCTTCATCAAAAATAGATTCACTTTCACCTTTTGTTTTAAACGAAACAATTCCCGAAGACTTATCCATTGTGTTTTTGAAATTTACACTCGTCAATCAAAACAAAATCACAACACTGAAATACAGTTTGAAATTCACCAAAATAACAACAACAATTTTCACCTATAAACCAAATCCCACCGCTGCCACCAATGTTGCCACCAATGTGACGCGAGGCGAACTCGTCAACACAATTTTTATAGGGAACGTTGGTTTTTATTGTGAAAATTATTTAATACTCCATATTGAATCACACACTGTTACACTATAATCCACTGCACTAGTAAATCCCAATATATAAATCCAAATGTATCAATTTGATTAAGTAAACCTTGTATTAAACCTTTACCTTTCTTTAAGTAATAAAACCAATTCTATTCTACTATTTGTTTACAATTTAAAAAAAATGAAAGTCATGTAAAATTATGAAAATAAATCAACCAAACTTCTTTTATTCTTCTTACTTACCTAATAATTTCCTATTAAAGCTATGTAATTTTCAATAAATACCTTTATATTTATTTCAAATCCCTAATATTTTAACCAATCACCAGAGCTACACCTTGGTAAATATTTCGGTGTAACCGATTCACCAGAGCTTCACCTTGGTAAATATTTCGGTGCAACTCGGTGTTTACCAAGATTAACCAAGTCACCAATACACAACACCTTGGTAAATTTCGGTGTAAAATTGGTGCTGGTATTAATTTCCAGGAATAAGAGAAGTAATAGCCGTTTAATAAATTAGGCTATCACCAATAATTTCTCCGAAAGCCCTTGGTGTGTAATAATTTTACCAAAGATCTCGGTGAAATATCAGGTGTCACTTGGTAAATCCTAACCAAACTATAATAAATGTTTAATTACCAAATCCTCTCTAGCCCGTCTTAACTGAGCCTCCGACATCTTCAAAATAATCAACAAGTCTACAGAGCAATTAACCAATTGAACCCTATTTATACTGGTCATCCCCTCAATGACAGTTATATACTGCGGATTAATAGAGATGCTGGCTAAGAAACTCCCCTACCAGACGGCACCCCACTGTGAATAAATAGAAGTTGGGGAGTGATACAAATTAACAAAGAAACATTAAAGCTGACATGAACTCTTAAAAAGGCATCAGTTTTCATCTTTGTACGACTTACTACATTCCTGTACGCCTTTGTCCGCCATATTTCCTCGATTCCGCCATATTAAATCGAACATTTTTGGCAACCTGTACCTGCTATATATAGCCTTTTAGAACTGATTCACTTCAGTGATTTTTCTATCCTGGCTGTCGACATGTGCACATCTCCGATAGCAAAGTTTTAAGAAGTCCATAAACTGACCAATATACATGTTTGAAAAATAAAAATTCGTCAAAAACTAGAACTTTACCGAGAATTAAATTATTTTTGAATGCATTTGCTGCAATATAGAAAATACAATTACACGGAAAATATTCAAGTAGAGCAAAAATTCCATGCAAGTCAGTCGAGAAAACGCGTCAAACGCAGTGATAGAAATATTTACCTGAATACTGCTATCGTTACAGGGATGTGCACATGTCGAAAAAATTATCCTATTTCACTTTTATTGAAAAATGCATCTCATAAATCATGTAATCCATTGCTAACTCAACAGTTAAAAAAAAATGCTTGGAAACACGTGGCCCATGCGATCAATTTATTTGGTCAGGGAAAAATAGGTTAAAAGCGCCGTGGGAAATGCAAATAATTTTTTTTTCAAAAATAAACATTACTCTTGTCTGTAAATGGTGTAAATAAAATTTTTGAAAACATAGTTTAACTTCTTCAAATTTATATAAAATTATGCATTATTACGAATCATTCACCTTTTGAAGATATGAAGACATTTTCCTGTGAAGGGGGGGGACGTAATAAAACATACATAACACTCTCATAAAAATTTGTTTTTAAGAAAAACGTCTGAAACAGATCGGATTTCTTTATGATCAAATAAATACTGTATATTGGCTTTATCAGACATAATATAATTTGATTTAAAGTTATTTATAATTCTATGCTCAATGAAAGAAAAAGTGAGCAAATTCACATACCCCACGCTCCCACATAAGTCGAAGTGCTGAAATTTACAGAAAAAATAAAGGAATCGTAATTTTCTTGTAAAATGCACATCTATAAACATTGTGTCCTAATTATCTGCTAAGTTTGACGAAATTGTATGCACCGGTTTATGAAGAATTGTGCTGACAAACTGCTCATTTTTATATTCAAGATATGGCCAAAATCTAAATGTATAAGTGGGGACATTCCCGAAAAAATAAAGATTACAGAATTTCCTGGTGATGTACAAATACAGACACATTGACTCCTCTGAATATCAGCATAGTTCAACAAAACTCTGTGCATTAGTTTATAAGAAGTTGCGCTGACCAAAAAAAAAATGGGCTGACTGATGGGTCCAAAACATTTTACATCGCGCAACTTGTTGCAAGGAGTATACTAAAGAGTTTGATTCTGTGGTACAATGATAATGAAAATACCAGGTAGAATTTAATGTGAATTAAATTTCTAGACATAAATAATTAATAATTACTAGAAAAAGCAGATAAAAAGAGAGAGGAAACCCCCCGTGGGAATTCCACATTCTACCTATAGCTTTTTGAAAATTCTCTTGTTTGTTGTCCAGCTTTTCTGGCCCAGTGATTCTTGAGAAGATTTTTTAATGACCCCACCCTATTTTTGTCTTTTCTTGATTATCTCCCCTTGCGAGGGGATATGTCCCTTCATTTTAACAATTTAATTTCCTCTTCACCCTAGGATGCTTTGTACCAAGTTTGGTCAAAATTGGCCCAGTGGTTCTTGAGAAGAAGTCGAAAATGTGAAAAGTTTACGGACGGACAGACGGACGGACGGACGGACGGATGGACGACGGACATAATGTCATCAGAAAAGCTTACTTGAGCCTTCGGCTCAGGTGAGCTAAAATGGAGCGTAATTGGTAATTAAATTAAATTAAATTGTATATTAACAAGTGCTTGAACTATAGAAATTTGATTTGAAGTTTAAAAAAAGTCCACATGCAGTTACATATATACATATACCTTAATTTGAAAAAAAACAAAACATTTTGATAGGTTTGTTTCGTTTCGGCAGGTTTCGTTTTTATTTCGTTTCGTTTTGTCTTGATTTCGTTTCGTTTCGGTAGATTTCGTTTAGTTTCGAGGGATTTCGTTTCGGTAGATTTCGTTTCGTTTCAGTTCGTTTCGTTTCTATTTCGTTTCGCACTTTACAGGTACCCAAAGAAATTGGCCTATCAGAAGAATTAAAGAAAGAATATACTAAGTGTTTTAAATTTCCTATTTACAATATTCTTAATACCCGGGATCGCGACTTGCGTCCAACGCGTAATATTTATTTATTTTAAAAAATCATATGCCTATATAGTTATAATGTTTAAGTATATGTTTCATGTTAAATTTTATTTTTTCCCTAAACTAAGCATCATGCAAATAACAGGTATGTACATGTATAGATCTAGTCTAACTGTGCCTGTATAACAGGTTTTTCTGTATGCAATTCTGAAAAAAGGAGATATGTCTAGACAAAACAGACAAGGCAAATGTAGATCTAGAATATCTTGACTTTCACATATAAAACATTTTAAATGTGAAATTGTCTTATAATATCAATATTAATTGTATAAATTTTTTTTAATTTCAGTTCATAATATATAAATTTAATTACATGCGATATTTTACAAACATGCAAAATATATAGTTGCTAAATTCAAGATAATCTAATTGTTAATTTTTTCATCTCACTTTACTTTCTCCTCAGTTTATATGGTCAGCTCAACACCGTACAAATGTATTTCAATTTTCATTTTTTTTTATGTGTGAAAATTTAATTATTTATATTAAATATATATTTATATTATATATATATATATATATATATATATATATATATATATATATATATATATATATATATATATATATATATATATATATATATATATATATATATATATATATATATATATATATTCAAAAAAATATATCTAAATGCAGATTTATAATTAATGTGTATTATAAATTAAATAAAATTAATTTTTACGATTGTATATGTTGTTGTTTGTTTTTTTTTTTTACTCATATATAAAGTAAACACGGTGTAAGTATAAGATATATATTATTTCCTTATTTTTTTTCTTGTAAAATAGAGAAAATAAACGCATTTTGATTTATCATATTGTTTAAAATTTGTCTGGGTAAATCAAGTACAATGTTCTAAGTCTTGAACAATTGTAATTATTCAATGATACATTAATGAATTCCATCAATGACGGCTTTTAGGAAACTCTTGAAAACTATAATGAAAACATCACACAGAATTTTAATGAAATCCCCAAGCTCACAATTAAGTATAATTTGAAACTTCAAAGTAATGATTAATTAGGACATACAAGCCCCGTCAAATACGTGTATTTCGTTTATAAAAAAAAATTGGAAATTAAACATGTTCAAAGTGATGATTATTTAGGACAACCAAGCCCCGAAAATTACGTATATTTAGTTGGTCAAAAATGGGCTTGTCCAAGCTCCGAAGCAGCTTTAAGGTAATGAAGAATTAGAACATGCAAGCCTAGAAAATTACGTATATACAGATGATAAAAAAATTGGCGTATCCAAGCTCCGAAGCAGCTTAAACATGTTAAAATTGATGAAAAATTCAAGAAAGCTTGCGTTGGAAACAAATTAAATAATTTGACATAGTCCCTATATAAAGAAGAAATGACTTGAATTTGTCAACAGTTTCAATCATGGCTGACTTGTGCAAAACGTTGTAATATTAAAAAAATAAATATAAAATTTTTGAAACATCCAATGTATATGATAAAGATAATATAAATATTAAAATATATCTTTTTTTGCAGATCGACTACAGCCAGCAGGATGGTGTCTTCAAGTTTGTGAGGAAGCTGCTTGCCCTGCCATTTCTACCAGAGGAACAGATTCCCGTCGCGTTCCACGCACTGAAGGAGACCGTCACCAGCGAGGGACTGATACACATGACCAACTACATCGAGAGGACCTGGATCAACGGCGACATCTGGACCCCATCATCGCGGACCGTCTACCGTATGGCTGTGAGGACAAACAACGACGTCGAAGGATGGCACCACCGCATCAACAGGAGAGCCCAGAAGTCCAGCCTGCCCTTCTATGTGCTTGTTATTCTACTCTACAAGGAAACCGCCAGCATCCCGACCCAACTGAAGATGATCAGCGAGGGAAAACTCCGGAGATACCAACGAAAGACTACAAGACTTCTACAGTGCCACATCAACCAACTTTGGGACAACTACAACGATGGATCCATCAGCGCCAGCCAACTACTGAAGAAGTGTGGACAGATCTACAACGGACAGTGAAGAAGGAAAACGTGCCGAAATTTGTGATTAAAGTGAAAATAATTGTGATTGAAAGAAGATAGTGATTAAAATAAATATTATTGTTTATATTATTTATGATTTGTTTTCAATAAAGTCTAGAAAAGAAAATTTATTTTTGTTTTGTTTTTTGTTATATTTCTTGAAAGGGAAATAGATTTTTTTTAGCGTAATTGACGCCAGGAACACTCAAAATAAAAATAAATACATGTCGATAGCCAGACTAGAAAATTACTCAAGTGAAACAGTTCTGCAGGACTATATATTTACATTTCCAATGTCTTTGTCGGAGATAAAAATACCAATTGTAAATTAATGTAATTGATTTCCTCATGAATGTTTTGGCGCGGTTTCAAAAAAAAAAAAAACATGTGCAGGGCGGGACAACACCCAGAGAGAAGCAGGCTTATATAGCACGTGGATTGGTGGAATCAAAGCATGTAAATATAAGGAATAACTGTCTTATTTTTCGAATTCATGAAGATGATCAATCAAATAAAACAGTTATTCCTTAAATATAGCAGGTACAGGTGGCCAAAAATCTTCCATTAAATATGGCGGAATCGAACAAATATGTCAGACAAAGGCAATGTAGGAAGTTGTACAAAGATGAAAACTGATGCCTTTTTAAGAGTTCATGTCAGCTTTAATAACGAAAAATATTATAACTGTGCAATGACATGTAAACACACAGAATGGTTTTATAAAAGAATACATGAACTTAACTGGAATGTTATATTTCACTGTAAATACTTGTACACTGTCAGTGTGTTGGTGTGATCTTGTCCCACATAGAGATTGTTCTCATCATCCACACACACACTTCGGGGATACTCTACCCCTTGTTGTCGTGTGAGTAATAGAGACAAGAACTGACCGTCCTGATCAAGGAGGTGAACAGCCTTACTGTTATCATCACACACCAGGATGTGACCGAGGACATCAGTACAGATTCCATAGGGATCGAACCCTGACTTCTGACCTGTGTAGGAGAACCTGTGTTGTCCTGATTTATTCACCACCACCATTCCTTTATAAAAGTCAGATGTACAGATATCTCCATTGATGTTTTCTGTGATGAAGCGTGGATAACTATACAGTCCCTGTCCTTTGTTATCCCTCTGTATGTTCTGTAGTTCTTTTCCTGTCTTGTTGTAACGGGTGACTTTAGCCTCTTCGTAACCATCACTCACCATCCCCACCAGTAAGTCCCCGTTGATGTGGGAGGAGTGTATGCTGAGTGGTCTCCAGCCTCCAGTTTTAATGAATTCAGTGATATTATTATCCTGTGTTATCCTATTGATTACTTTCTTGCCTTTCTCTGTAAAGATCAGATCCCCTTTCGGTGTCACTGTGTGGTAACCTTCACCTCTACCACTGGTTTTTATCTTCTGTATCACATTCCCCTGTAGATCTGTTTGGACAAGATTACCCTCTCTGTCACTGATCAAGAGTATGTCTGATTGATCTAGTGATACATGGTATACTTCATCAACACCTGGTACATTGAACCCCCTGACCTTGGTGACAGAGGCAGATAGAAACATTGTTTGTTTCATGTCAGATTTCTTTCTGTCTTCTTTCATCTGTTTATGTGTAAGTTTCATTGTTGTATTGTAGATACTTTCAATGGGTCTTATTTCTCTCTTCTCTGCTTTAGTGTTGGGGACCTGTATTTTACCAAGTAATTTAGTGACATCATGTTTGTTGTATTGACCAGCAATAAATCCTGGTGTGACAGGTTTTGCTGTCTCTGGTATGGATCGGATCTTTGGTTTCTTCTCAGACATTAATTTCTGGGTTTCTGTAGAGGACAGGCATCTGTGGAGCTCTTTGACAAGGTTATTAAGATAAGTGATATAGTCATCTAATGTCTTGTCTTGTGTGTTCAGATCTTCTAACAGTGATTGCTCTATCTGGTCTAACTGCTTCATGTTCTCAGATATGACTGTGTCCACCAGACTTTTCAGGGTCTCACCTTCAGTCTTCATGGATGTTCTAATGTTGTCTATAAAGTGTTTGATTTCTGAGGAATCTTTTTTAATCTCTTTCTTTAAATTTTGTGATGTAGGGAGAAAATACTCGTGAATTTTGGAAATTTCCTGTTCGAAGACCGCAAATTTTTCTGCGTAGACTGCTTCAAGATCAACAAATGTATGTTTTGGGTGGTCTCCCTTTGTAGCACATTTGGAACATAAGGAAACCTGGCAATCTTCACAGAGCATGTCCACATCTTTTGTGGGGTGGATCTTGCATTTCTCCACAGGAAGTTGTCGTTTACGTTGCTGGTAAAGGACTACCACATGGGTCTTGTTTTCTGGACTTTTCAGATGTTCCTCGCTGCATTGTTTACACAATCTTTGATGGCAAGGGTTGCAGTAGAACTCGCAGTTTCTTTCACATTCTTCAATGCCACACTCTAAGAAGTGCTGGGCTGTGCGGGGAATGCCAAATTTAGATAACGCCATCTGAAAAAATAGGAATAATTGTTTTATACATAATGATGTTCTAATTTACAATGTATATTTATTTTTTTCAGAATTAGGGGAAAACAGATATTAATTTGTAAACATGTCAACAGTGATATCATAATTATGCATTCGATTTGCTATTCTAGTACATCAATAAATCACTTTATTGGTTTTATCCGGAATTCATATAAAAGTTGATTTAAACTAAATTAAATGACCTTTATTGTAAATGTACTTACAGATTTTATGAATGACCGACAAATGACTTTGTTGACAGCTAGACGTTGAAATGTCAAATGAGATTTCAGTGGAGACTTGAACGAGATCTGTAATTTACTTCCTTGATAAATTAGAGATAAATTTAGATTTAAATACCCATACCTGAGGTGTTTAACAGAGCAAACGTTTGCCTGCGCTTGCCAAAATTCTCTACACCTCCACTAAAAACTGCTATGACGTCACCCATTGTTATAAGTCTATATATATTTTATCGATTCAACCAGCACTAGTTGGATATTTATAGATCCAACTGGCCATCAGTTGGATAGTCAAATATCCAACTGCCTATCGATATTTTATTATCCAACTGACAGAGGTGCATAAAACAAAAACAGTGAATAAAATAAATCTAAAAAAATTTAAAATATGTTATTTCCAATGCACATTATTGCTAAAAATTTGCCACACTATTAGAATTAATTTCCAGTGCACACAGAATTACCAAAAATACTTCACATTTATCAGATTTATATATCGTGTTTCAAATGCACTTCCAATGCCCACAGAAATAACAATTCTTCCAAATTTTGCACACTTTTTGAAATGTTTTTGGTCTTACATTTTGAAAACATTACTTTTTGACAATACAAATACATTTTCACCTTGAATCTTAAACTACACCACTTCTTATTGCTGAACATTATTTCAGGGTCCGTTATCAGTAAATCCCTTCAGATTTTCCAAGATTCACCTCTGTTTCATACTTTTCCAGCGTACTTCCCTAAACAATTTAAGTCATTGACAGCCAATCTATATTTCGACACTGTTTTTATTACAGATGTTGATATGGATTGGAATGTTTTTAAAGCAAGTTCCGCATAACACAACCAATCATTTTATCTGTTTTAAAGCACTACTGCAAGTACTGTCCGAATGAAACTCCATAAGCATCCAACACTTTTCCTCAACAAACCATCATCTTTTAATGTGTAATGACAGATTCACAATTCTGTAATTTTTTTTTCAGCTTTCAGACAAAGGTATTCAAAACACTACCTGAACCTCTCTAATTTACATTGGATTTTAAGATATTCTTTGTCTGATTTCATGACCGTTCAGTACAATGAAAAGGGTTGAAATGACATCAGCACCATGTAGTTTCATGTTCACTAGTCCAGGAATAAAAAGGGTGTTCTATTAAGCTGTTGTTTTGTGTCAGTTGGATATTTAAATGGGTTACATCCTGTTGTATTATAGCAAAGTTGGATATTTGAATGGGGTACTGTAGATTCCTTATTTTTCGAAAGAACTTATTATCACGAATGGGCTCTTCAATGTCAAATCGCAAGAATAATAATTTGCGAATGGACGATTAGTATAGAGATTTTATAAAAATTACAGCACCATAAGAATAAAGGCGAGTAATTTTTAGCTCACCTGAGCCGAAGGCTCAAGTGAGCTTTTCTGATCACATTTTGTCCGGCGTCCGTCTGTCTGTCTGTCCGTCTGTCTGTCTGTAAACTTTTCACATTTTCAACTTCCTCTTAAGAACCACTGGACCAATTTCAACCAAACTTGCCACAAAGTATCCTTGGGTCAAGGGGATTCAAGTTTGTTCAAATGAAGGGCCACGCTCTTATTCAAGGGGAGATAATTGGGAATTAATGAAAATTTAGTGGTATATTTAAAAAATCTTCTTCTCAAGAACCACTGTGCAAGGAAATATGAAACTTATGGGAAAAAATCCTCAGGTAGTGTAGATTCAAGTTTGTTCAAATCATGACCCCCGGGGGTAGGGCGGGGCCAAAATGGCCGACAAAATTTTACATAGAAATATATAGGAAAAATCTTTAAAAATCTTCTTCTTAAAAATGACAAAGCCATTATTCATCATATTTATATGGGAGCATGCTCATGTAGTGTAGATTCAAGTTTGTTCAAATCATAACCCCCGGGGGTAGGGCGGGGCCAAAATGGCCGACCAAAGTTTTCTATAGAAATATATAGGAAAATTCTTTAAAAATCTTCTTCTCAAGAATGACAAAGCCATAATTCATCATATTTATATGGAAACATGCTCATGTAGTGTAGATTCAATTTTGTTCAAATCATGACCCCCGGGGGTAGGGTGGGGCCAAAATGGCCGACCAAAGTTTTACATTGAAATACATTGCAAAATTCTTTAGAAATCTTCTTCTCAAGAATGACAAGGCCATTATTCATCATATTTATATGGAAACATGCTCAGGTAGTGTTAATTCAAATTTGTTCAAATCATGGCCCCCGGGGGTAGGGCGGGGCCAAAATGGCCGACCAAAGTTTTACATAGAAATATATAGGAAAATTCTTTAAAAATCTTCTCCTCAAGAATGACAAAGCCATAATTCATCATATTTAAATGGAAACATGCCTATGTAGTGTAGATTCAAGTTTTTTCAAATCATGACCCCTGGGGGTAGGGCGGGGCCAAAATGGCCAACTAAAGTTTTACATAGAAATATATATAGGAAAATTCTTTAAAAATCTTTTTCTCAAGAATGACAAAGCCATTATTCATCATTTTAATATGGGAGCATGCTCATGTAGTGTAGATTTAAGTTTGTTCAAATCATGACCCCCGGGGGTAGGGCGGGGCCAAAATGGCCGACCAAAGTTTTACATAGAAATATATAGGAAAATTCATAAAAAAATCTTCTTCTCAAGAATGACAAAGCCATTATTCATCATATTTATATGGGAGCATGCTCATGTAATGTAGATTTAAGTTTGTTCAAATCATGACCCCTGGGGGTAGGGCGGGGCCAAAATGGCCGACCAAAGTTTTACATAGAAATATATATAGGAAAATTCTTTAAAAATCTTTTTCTCAAGAATGACAAAGCCATTATTCATCATTTTAATATGGGAGCATGCTCATGTAGTGTAGATTTAAGTTTGTTCAAATCATGACCCTTGGGGGTAGGGCGGGGCCAAAATGGCCAACCAAAATTTTACATAGAAATATATAGGAAAATTCTTTAAAAATCTTCTCCTCAAGAATGACAAAGCCATTATTCATCATATTTATATGGAAACATGCTCATGTAGTGTAGATTCAAGTTTGTTCAAATCATGACCCCCAGGGGTAGGGCGGGGCCAAAATGGCCGACCAAAGTTTTACATAGAAATATATGAGAAAATTCTTTAAAAATCTTCTCAATCATTTTCTAAAAAATAACAAATCCATGATTGGTCATGGGACTACTTTTGGATTTAAATTTTACAATAAAAAGCCATTTTATTCTAGTCCTACCCTTGGTGCTCAGGTGAGCGATGTGGCCCATGGGCCTCTTGTATTTTGGTGTGGTGCTTCTCACGAAATTTCGCGATAATTAATTCTATGTGTATATTTACAGTATATTGTTGTTACTCTTGTCTGTCCGTCCATCTGTCACACCTTTCTTTCCCGAACTCATCTTACATTTTACACAGTAGCTTAATCATTTTTAGGGAGATATGCAGTAAGGTTTCTGAATTTACATTTGATAGTTTACATGAATTTTAGATGTGGAACTTTGGCAATTTTTATCCAGACACTTATTGATGAAAAAGAAAGTATTATTTGCGATTGATGCATAAATATAGTTGCATAATACAGTATTTATATGTGTATATTTTGTGTATTACAGATTGCTATGGGTCTGCCCCTGTACTGGTTGAAGGACATCAGACAGCTGTATGAAGTGGATACGTGGGGGGACAGTCCTATTGATTTCTCTAACCCCTCCATACACCCCCGACCCCGGGGCCATGTCATAGCAGCCAGGATCACCAGCGAAAACCCTGACGAAGTAAGATACTTTAAAA